ATGTATTCTTTTATCTTGTTATTTTATATTTTCACGAGAGACGGTTTTTAACATGTGAATATTCGTTCACATTTGACAAATTAAAGCAATACATGCATACACATAGATAACAACCGTACATAATTCATTAGAAGAAAAAAAATCTCCCACTTCATGCAATATGAAGAAGGTCATTCCATTTGGAAAATCTCCTTAGCAGTGATAAGATTCCACGTCTTTTAAAAGACAGAAATAATCATTAAAAACAACAGACATTAGTCTAGTTGAATATACCACTACATTGCAATTGCAAATGCGTGTGAATATCCTACTTAATTTTTTTTTTGGGTTAAAAAGAAACTTTATTTTTATTGGGAAGAGAGACTGCTCCTTTAAAGTCAAGATAAACTCCTCTAAATAAATTACTGTTATAATTTTAAACTTCAATAACAACAACTAATAGCAAGCAGCGATTCCGAATTTCTGCCGTATCCAGTCTGGACGTCGTTGAGGATTTAACAAGTCTAATTTTTATATAAAAAATTTAAAACATACTTTTAATTCTCAAACTCTATGTAAAAGTTTAATTTAATCCTTTAATTTCATAAAATATCTTTTTAGTTCTTTAATCTTAACATTTTTAGCTTCAAATGATTATTTTTTATGTCAATCATTATTATTTTAAAAAAATTAAATTTAACATGTCAACATTTAAGAATATTTTATCATATTTAAAAGTTTAATATAAAAATTTATTAAAATAAAACTAATAATACTTGGATTAAATAATTAAAAAATAATTTATAAAATTAAGGAATTTAAATAAAAATTTTATATAAAATTAAAAAAATTAAGTGTATACTTTAATCTTTATAAAATGAATAAAGTAGCCATGTTTATTGGGTGGGCTTTAGTTCACAGCATCAAATAAACGGATTCGGGTTGCAGCATAAAAAATAATATCATCGTCCTTTAGCAATAAAGGTAATTCTCTCTCTGTGTGTGTACATACCAAAAAAAAAAAAAAGGTAAATTCTGGTTGCTCGGATAAAAGGAGTCATTGACACATCAACAAACACTGTTTTAAATAAGGTACTGAAAATCGAATTGATCAAGCTAATGAGTTATGGGTTAGTAGTATAATCAAAGTTGGATCAAGGGTTAACTTGAAGGATAAATCGGCATTATTAAAATAATAATTTAAATAAAAATATATTAATCACATAAACATTCAACCAAATTCAATATTAATATCTAATACAAGATACAAATACAACGATAATTATAGAATTACAACCACTTAAAAGTCTAAAAATAATAAAATATGACTTAATAATATTCATTTTTATAATTATAATTTACAACCCTTCAATTATTAAAAAGTCTAAAACTAAAATCATTAACACTAAAATTATCAACAATGACAATCATAATTTATAAATGTTAAGCAACAATCAAAAAAATAAATAAAAGCAAATAATAAAATATTAAAATAATTGAGGCACAATTAACTTAAAAAAATACTGAATCTTCTAAATTCAAACTTATAATTAAGGCCTCTATTCAAAATTCGAACCTACAGATAGTGAAATTTGGTTTAATTGTCTTGCCCTCGTTGCCTTACTTTTTTAATTTTCAAACTAATTTTTTTTATTTTTATTTAGTTTTTACAATTTAAAAAATAAAAAATAAAAAAGTGACTAGTTAACTTAACAACCCGGTTAAGTTATCCTGGATTAACCATGAGTTAGTCGAGTCATACGAGATCAATGACTGACCAATTTAGGTGAAAATCCAGCTCATGAAAAGAGATCAGGTCATTAATTTACAGGTTAAACTTGTTGGTTCGATTTGAATTTTCATACAACGGTTTTAAGTCTTAACCAAAACAAAAAACCCCAAAAAAATGACGGTTGCCAATAGTCATGAGCCATAACAATGAAACAAATGGAATTTAACGAAAATGATTAGTCTACCACCACGTGTTAAAACAAGGTTTGACTTTCTGATGAAAGAAATGCTAACATGGCATTTAATTATATTTCAAATATCATTATTTTTAATAAAAAAATACTTATATATAATAAAAAAAGTATCTTTTGTCCTTGGGGCCACCTTTGTGATTGAATAATTAATCACCACTGAGCATGCGCCGCACAGTGCCACTACCCGATGGATGAAAGTGGCTCAAGACGACCCCATTTTTTAGAGAATCACATGCACTTCTTGCATAAACGCGCTCTTCATTTCCATGGTCCACTTGAACCAACCGCATATTTGCTTTTTATGATTGACTAGTGCGAGTTCCTGTTTTAAAATTTCCAATTTGAGTTTTATTTTTATAACTTATAAACAATATACTTTGCTAAAATTATTATATATGTATATATATATATTTATGCAGTTATTTTTTCATAGACGTAATTTTTTAAAAGATAAATATATCACCTCTTTTTTTTTTGCTAGAAGAAAAAATAAAACACATCACTTGTGATCTATAACCATGATTGTTAGACTCCAAAGTTGACTTTTAAGTTTATTATTTTTATATTTTAACTTATAAAATTATGTTAACTAGGATATAAATTTATATTAGATGAAATTCGATTAAACTAGTGAGTTAACTCTTTAAATTTATTATTTTTATATTTTTAATTTATAAAATTGTGTCAACTTACTCATAAACTCAGGCTAAATACAATTGATTAAACTTACTAACCTTATCAATTTTTAATTGAGTTGAGCAAAATTAGGTATATATTGTGTATAACTAGCTTTATAAAAGTGGTGGGACATAGTTCAAAGGGAAATAAAACTCAAAAACAAAAATTAATATTGATAAAAATGAAAAAGGAGAATCACAGTTAGGTTTCAAGATATTATATTAATAACAGTTAAGTTTTTGATAATTTTTTTTAAAAAAATAGGTTGAAATATCGATTCAGATTATTGAAAAGTTAAAAGTTTCAAATATAAATAAGTATTTAAGTATTTCAAAAATTTTTATTTATAATTATTTAAATTGATATTTATAATTTATTTTGTAAAAAAATTTGTCAAAACTTAATTGTCATTAATTTATTTATTTCGGATTTAACTGTCAGAAAATAACAAAACTAAGTTGTCCTGTTTTAATATTTTTATATTAAGTATGATAATCTATCAATATAAGTAGATTTAATTTAATAATTTATTTTGAAATTTAAAGTATATTTAAATAAAATTATAATCATATTTATATTCTAATTATTTAATTACATACTTGTAATAGTTATTTATTAATAAAAGTAAACCCTTACGAGTTTATTATCCAAACTTATAATTCAAGTTTATATCTGTATCATAAATTTAAATAAATTTATGAGTTTAACAATTTTATTTATAACTAACAAAAGTTGTCATGGATTTTATATTTATAGATTAATGATAATGATTCCAACTCCCCTGTATTCTTTTCACAAACGTCGCACATCCTTTCACATTATGTGTTCGGTGTTGTTGTGTATTTTTTTAATCTGAAATGAATAATAAAGCCTTACAAGATCTTTCGACATATGGAATAAAAACTAAAAAGACGCCACTTCGCTGGCCACCAAAAAAAAAAAAAAAGAGATGCCACTTGAATAATTCAAAAAAAAAAATTGACTATTATCTGGCACCGGACAAATGAGTTACAAACTAGTTCGTGAGTTAGTTTACGTGGTTGTCATTTTTGTGGGTTGGGTTAGGTCAGTCCGTCAGATAAAACGAGTTAAAAAATCTAACTCAATCTATTTTTTAGTGGGTTAGTGAACTCACAGGCTAACCCACAAAAATTTATTAAATTTTTTGGTAATTTAAAATTTATATAATATAAATATATATATATATATATTTATTTTATATTTTGAAGTAAATTAGCAATTAAAGAACTTATAAATGAATAAAATAAATATAAAATTCAATCAAGAAAATTTATTTTGCTAAATTTTTATTATTAATCATCTTCTCGCTTAGGTGTGTTATCTTTTTCAATGAAAAAAAAATTCAATATAAACTCATATTATTTTTTTAATGAATTTATATTTATAATTTCAATGAATAAATCTTATGATATTAACAAATAATATATATTCAAAATATTTATATAAAAACTAATAAATCATTGAGTTACAAACCATAACAAAAATTTTATTTGTAAATTGTAAAAAAAATTTACACTATATTTTAAATGTAAAGAACATATTTAGAAGTTATAAATTATATATTTGAGAAATATTTTCATTATTATAGATTTATAAAATGATATAATATAATTAAAAAATTTAAAATTATTTTTTTAAAAATATGTTAGCCCGCAGGCTAACCCGTTTAACTTGCGGCTAGCCATTTAGTTTTGCGAGTTGGGCTAATCTAGCCTGTTTTAAAAAAATAGGTCAATTTATTCAATCTAAATTATCAAATTTTATAGGTTAAATAGGTTAGCCCGCTAGCTCAATTTATTTTTTCAACTCCACTGCTAACTATATCCTAGTACGTACTCACTGGTTAGAACACTGATTATTCGTCTATCATTTTTTCCCTCCTCCTGCTCCCGTCCTTCTTGTGTTTTCTTGATGAAAATTGGAGCTTGCACCCAAGAAATTTCACTGCCGTGACTAATCAATTATTATTTTTCACAATATTATTCATTTCTCCACAAAAAAATACAGCAATTCTCCACAAACAATAAAAAAAGAACAAAACTACCCCCAAAGTTCAAACTACACCCTGATTAAAAGATATTTAGGACTCCAAAGTCATTTTTCTTTTGGCGACCAAAATACAACCTGTAAATTTTTGGGGTAAAAATAGATTTTGTAAAATTCTGGGACAAATTTACCTACTCAAGTCCGACAATATATTTTAGTTGGGCCTTTTGATCCAGCCATAAAAAACATATTGGGTCTGTTTACTTTCACATACGAGAGTGGGCTAGAGCCCACAGCTTGCTCTCTCATATTCGTAGGTCCACGCTCTCTCGACTCTAGAAGACATTTTTCTGACCAGAACTCTAGAAGACTGGAAGTCGGCCATGGATGATTGTCTTCTATTATTTTATCGTTCTCCAAACTCATCGTTCCCATAGCTGTGGATGTGAAAAATTTGGAAAAGGATTTCAATTCTGAACATTCCTGACGCATACTTTCTGAATTGCTGCAAAATAGATAATGGCCGGTTCCGAGACCAAGTTCTTGCAGGAGTTGGTTTTGTATGCCGCGAGCGCCGCGTTGAGTTGCTTAGTTTTGTTTGTGGGTCTCCGGCAACTCGACCCGAACCGTGAGGCTTCAAAGAAGGCACTTGAGCACAAGAAGGAGATAGCCAAGCGTCTGGGTCGTCCTCTCATTCAAACAAACCCTTACGAGGTGCTGTTTCTATTCTGGCTTCTTGTTGATATATTGCTATCAGCATGTGGATTTTGCTAAAAACCCTTGTTCCGGCGAGCTTATTGATTTTGTTGCCCTTAATTATTATTTTAACTGTGCGAGCTTGTCAGGATTGGGTTTAATTTTCTCTGGAGTTCGTGGTTCTTGCGTTCCTTCGTTCTAACCTGATATTCTGGGAAAAGTATGAAAATTTTCTATTTCATGGGATTGGGAAACTCGTCCTTCATATTCAATTAAAATCAATCAATTCAAAAGTTGTATATGCAATGCAGAAGGCATGTGCTGTGTCATTGCATAACATCTCGAAGATTGTGTAACTGGTAAAAACCTCTTTATCTTATTTTCTCAACTGCATTTAGCCTAAATCTTGGTTATCTTAATTGAAATTTGCAGCTTTGTACCCTTAATTTTCTGGAGAACTTTCAGTTGACATTGGATTGTTATTCTAGATATACATCTTAATAACGCAAATAGTGAAAATACCTATGAAGCACAAACACTTATAAAAGCGACTATCTGGAGTCTAACTTGCATCCGACCGTTTATAATATACACGGATGCTTTCAAGCCACCGAGGGTAGTTCAGTGGTGTAAACGAATATATATATATATATATATATATGGATGCTTTCAGTTACACGTAGACACTTAATTTTGTTTTGTGATTGTCATGTCCCATGTCTTGCTTTCTTGATTGAAATAGCCTGTGGTATACTGAAGGAGGCTATCAGAATTCAGAAGTGCCAACTACGAGTGCAACTCTAGTGCTATAAAAGCAGCGGGGAATTTTTTAATCTTGAATTCTATTCTAATTCACAAGATGTTTTTTGAATTTTCTCTTGGTTGATGAAGCAAATTTACATGACGTCTGAGTAGGTTGCTATTTATTGTTTATTGCCATAGGCTTAGAGAGATGCCTTTTTCTCTTGTAGATTGTAACGATGTAATATGTAAATACTATATTTAAACACTCCCTCTCTTGGGCTCCATTTCTGTACTCTCGCTTTCATATGGTTAATCATTCAACATATTTCCATGGAAATCCTTGTTGAACTTATGCCCTTTGTGAGTGATTGCCAGGTGTTTTGGTACTAAAGAACACATTGTTTGATGGGAGTGGATAATGTATTATTAGTGTTTTGAAGGTGGTCTTAGACATATAGAATCGCTCCCCAATCTTCACATAGGAGCTCAATTTTAATGGCTACATCCTGACTGATATTATAGTGGACGGAACAATGTGCTTGTATGTAGTTACCTCTAAGTTAGACCATATACGTGATGGCACAGATATTATCTTGCCATTTCTAGAGGCTAATAATTTATATAGTGATTTCCCTATTCTGTATGATTTAGTCTTCTACCTATATTGATCTATTCCTATCATAAACCTTTTTCTTTTGGTGCAGGATAATGGAGAAGAAATAAGTTTGAACATAGGAAATAATTGCCAGTTCTTATTCCATGTTTATGCAATAGTGTGGCCTTATTTCTGATAGAAGAGGATTTCTTAAATTTTATGTGAAGACCCAAGTTTATCCAACTTTTAATCCTTTGTTGCCTACAGGATGTTATAGCTTGTGATGTTATAAATCCTGATGACATTGATGTGGAGTTTGATTCCATTGGAGGGCTGGAAAAGATCAAGCAAGCTTTATTTGAGCTGGTTATACTGCCTCTTAAACGACCAGAGCTGTTTTCTTATGGCAAGCTTCTTGGACCACAGAAAGGAGTGCTATTGTATGGACCCCCTGGTACTGGGAAAACCATGCTTGCCAAAGCTATTGCTAGGGAGTCTGGAGCTGTGTTTATTAACGTGAGGATATCAAACCTGATGAGCAAGTGGTTTGGTGATGCTCAAAAGCTTGGTAAGTGAGCTTTAAGTTTTCATTATTTTTAACTGATTGACATTGATAAATGTTTTGCATTAATATTTAATCTTGACTTGTGGAATGCAGACTCTCGAGACTAATATTTTCTTTTAAATGAATGCTTCTAGATATATACTGACCAGGTAATTTGAAAAAAATTTAGTAACTCAAGTTTCATCTAAAATTGTAAGTCATCCCATCCTTCCATTCCTTTTCCATTTTAGAAGGTATGAAGTGAGTCCTCTGTATGTCATCATTAGTAATGTGATATAGCCCGTAATTTCACTAAGACCTATAAGAGGAAGTTAGAGAGGAAGAATGACTGAAATGGAAAAGCTTTGACTGGTCGAGATGATTATCCTTCGGTCCCTGGCCATAAGGAACAGTGAATTATGACCTTGTTTTATGATCATAATCTTTTTGGGCAGTAGGGGCTGTGTGTAAGCCATGCTGTGAGTATTAGTTGTCTTTTGTTTTGAGCGGGAGGGATGTCTTTTGGAATGGAATTGTGAGGAGAGACTGGGCCTCTCGAATGCTAGGGGGAGTGGAACTCTTATTTTGATTACTGTAATCTATGTTGCTGGTTCTATTTTGATCATTTAGGGAGATAGGGTTTTGGCCAGCATCAGACTGTCTTTGTAACTTTGATTTGGTTCCCTCAGTTCATTAATATCAAAACCCCAGCATTTTCCCCTCACATTTAATTCTGCTACTGTATTTCTTGTTATTTTTACTGTGTTTCTGGTTTGGGTCCCATTGACAAACTAAGGTGCTAAATAGGAGCTTGGAAACTTACTTTCGTTGCTTTGCCAATGAAAAGCCTACTCAATAGGATAAATGGTTATTTTCAGCTGAGTATTGGTATAACACTTCATATCACAGTGCTATTGGCATGACATCCTTTAAAGCAGTGTATGGTAGGGGTCCCCTTAAATTTAAAACTTAGTGATGAACCCTCTGCTATAGAAGATGTGAATGAACAGATTCAACTTCGAAACCAGATTATTTCTCTTTTAAGGGACAATTTGGCTAAGGCTCAAAGCAAAATGAAGGAGCAAGCTGATAAGCATAGAAGGGATGTGCAATTGGATGTTGGGGATCTTGTCTATGTGAAACTTAGACCTTATAGGCTGAAAACTTTGGCTAGGAAGGTCAATGAAAAGCTAAATCTGCGCTTTTATGGTCCTTTCAAGACTCTTCAGCAGGTTGGAACAATAGCCTACAGGCTTGAACTTCCACCTACTGCTTGTTTTCATCCTGTGTTTCATGTTTCTGAGCTTTTGAAGTCTCTGCATTCTGCTGTGGTAAATCCTACCATTCCTCCAACACTTTCTCATGAGTTAGAACTATAGGTGCAGCCTCAAGATGTTAGAAAGGTTTGCAAACTCTTAAATGGACAGCAAGAGATGTTAGTTAAATGGCAAGATTTACTTGAGTTCGAGAATTCTTTGGAAAATGCAGCTGCCCATTAAGGACAAGGTGAAACTTTTAGGGGAGGGTAATGATAGAGCTTGTAATTTCACTAAGACCTTTAAGAGGATGATGCACGCAAAAATTTATAACCGCAAGTATACAGGTGAATATGTAATATGCTAGTGCGTCAAGGTCGATCCCATGAGAAATCAAGCAAAATAGCGATTAGGCAATAAAATTTCTATTTTTATTTATGCTAAGCAAAACCAATTAGATTGATTAATTAACCAAAATTAAAATTGAATTTAATAAAGACTTAACGAAATGCTTAAATCCAACAACCATGCAAGTAAAAAGCAACCTAGAGTCATTACTCTTCTATTAATGTCTTAGATTCCATTTTAACTCAATTAATTAATTTCAAAGCCAATTTTGTTAATTGAGAGTTTTAATACCTATTAGGGCCTTTCAATCCATTAACAATCATCTCTTGAATTAATTTTATTTCTAGCACAATTATTCAAGAGGCAATTCAACCCAAGAACACTCTACAATGATTATATGGGGCAATTAGGTATATGTCTATCCTAATTACAAATTAGATAGAATCTAATCCCATGTTACTCAATCTAATAGACTAGAAGAGGTTCCCCTTTGTCAAGGAAAAATCCCAACACCCAAAATCACATTTAATGCTGGCCAAGCATCAAATAGACATTAAAGCACAAGATTGAGCTATCAAAATTAACATTAAGCATAATTAATGGGTAAAAACGAGTCTAATCCACTCGGTGTAAGAAATTCAGCCACACATAAGTCTGGAAATTGCAAAATTAAACAGAGAATACATCAAAACAAAGAAGAGAAGGAGAAGAAAAGCTTAATCGAAGTGATTTTGGATGAAAATCACTAATTTCCCACGAAACTCAAGCTTTTCTATCTCATCCATGGTGTTTTTCCCTCTTCCTTGGTCAGTTTAGAGTTGTTGGAGACGAGCAAAGATGAAAAATGTTGAGCAAAAACGTTCAAAATCCTAAAAATTTCAGTTTTTCATGAAGCTATGCATTTCAGTAATTGACGCTTATGCTGTGGCATAATCATGTTATGTTGCGACATAAATCCCACTGTCACTGCTACTGTCAATGATTTTGCTGTAATGTAATTCCAATATTTTGTAGCATAAATCTTGCCTTTTCTTCATCTTCAATCTTTACTTACATATAGTACTTTGAGTCTGAATTTGGATTACCCTACACATAATATAACATCATTAATGAAAGTTTAGCTCAAGTAATCTATTCATTTCAGCAAGATATTACCAATCCTCCCTTCTCATATTCAAAAGGACTTTTCTTTCATTTTCTCTCAAACTTTTTTAGATGACTCCAAATTGAACCCAAAATTTCCTAAAAACACATGAAAATATTTGGAGTCATCAGAGGAAGTCAAAGGGTAAGCCATGTTGGTCAAGATCATTATCCTTGAGTGGTCAAGATCATTATCCTTGGGTCCTTGGCCGTAAAGAACAGTGAATTATGATCTTTGTTATGATTATAATCTTTTTGGGCAGTAGGGGCCTTGTGTAAGCCATGTTGTGAGTACTAGTAGTTTTTTGCTTTGATAGGGAGGATGTCTTTTGGACTGGAATTGTGAGGAGACTGGCATCTCAAACACCAGAGGGAGTGGGACTTTTATTTTGATTTCTGTAATTTGTTTTGTTGGTTCTATTTTGATCATTCAGAGGAGATAGGTTTTGGCCAGAATCAGAGTGTGTTTTTGTAACTCAAATTCGGTTCCCTTAGTTCATTAATATCAAAACCTCAGCATTTTCCCCTCACATTTAATTCTGCTACTGTAATTCTTTGTTATTTTTAATGTATTTTCGGTTTTTACAGTAAATAAGAAAATAATTAAGATTTAACTAGGGTTTAAATAGATTTAGATTACTTAAATAGATTTAGATATGACTTATGATTTAAATAGGATTTGGATAGGATTTGATATTTAATTATATTAGTATTATTATGTTAATAGGATTTGGATAGATTAGGATATATATATTCATACCATAATAATGCCTTTAAATAAGAGGCTGTAGAGTACCTAATTTGAGGCTTTGATTTCCAATAAATAAGAGGCTGTAGAGTACCTAATTTGAGACTTTGATTTCCAATGAGAATTACATATTCGGATTTGCTCTCTTTATCTCTATTTTGTTTTTGTTTCTCTATTTCCCCTCTCTTTCTCTTTCTTTCCGATCTAAATTCTATAACAATGGTATTAGAGCCAGTGAACCTTGGCCGTGGCATGACATTCTTTCCAAAATGAAAATGAGGATGACCACTAGATATGGCTTCGTCAGTGGGAGATGTGAAAGAATTCAATGAATTTTTTGATAGCCATACTAGTCAATTGAAAAATATTTGGTATTTGCATATGTGGCCGAGCTTAAGCCAGAACTTGTAGAACCAATACATCTCTTCAAACCAAGAACAATGCAAGAAGATAAAAGTCTTGCAAGATTGTAAGAAATCATGCTAACGCATCAAGTAGAAAAGAAGGCACAGGCACTTTGTGATATTTATGGGTCACAAGAGTTTTTGGAGGAGGATGAAAGGAAGATGCCTCTACAAGATTGTGAGAATCATCATGCCAAGAATGACCTTAGCAATAATGGGGATCTCAAAAATATGACCATTGCAGTTGAAGTTGGGTCTTCCTTGCCATTAGCTCAAGATATGCATCCAGTGCCACAAGAAGGTTTTGTCGTTCAAGAAAAGAGTAGGTCTTGTTCGACTAGCACCCAAGAAAATTGTGACAGCATTATTAAGAAGAGCCAAGAACCCTAAGTAGTTGATGGTTATGTCAACACAAATTCCATCAGTCATGAGTTCTAAGATTCTTTCGTATTTAGTGGTCGCAGTGTGCCATCTGTTCTAAGTTGTCTATTAATGCGTGTTCTCCAGATTCAATTACTGTTATCCTCTACTTTGCTGGTGAGAATGCATATCTCTGCTTCTTCCTTGTTGCTGGTGCTCATTCTTGTTCTAACTTGGTTCAGAGGCAATTTAATTAGGATGCTTTGGGGCTCTGGTTTGATTCAATTTTTTGTGTACTTGACCCTTGAGGGCACGGGCCATTTGGGGGAGGGGTATTGTTATGTAATTATAATAAATAAGAAAATAATTAAGATATAATTAGGGTTTAAATAGGGTTAGATTACTTAAATAGATTTATATATGATTTATGATTTAAATAGGATTTTGATAGGATTTGATATTTAATTATATTATTATTATATTAGTAGGATTTGAATAGATTAGATATATACGTTCATATGATAATAATGCCTATAAATAAGAGGCAGTAGAGTGCCTGATTTGAGACTTTGATTCCAATGAGAATTACATATTTGGATTTGCTCTCTTTATCTCTTTGTTTCATTTCTCTGTTTCCCTTCTCTTTGTCTCTCTTTCCAATCTAAATTCTATAACAGGGTCCCATTATAACGTTAGCCAAATATCCTCTTCCGCTTTTCCTATTTGAAGTTGAGAGTGAGAGTGATTGACCTCATGTTATTTTTCAGCATGTTTTTTAACAAGAGTATCTTGTTATATGAAACAGTAATTTCAATTCTGAGTGTTAAACCTTGTGACAAGTACCTCTAGTTTTCTATCAAAACAGAGATACAGCCCCGGGTGGGAGAGTGAGAGAGAGAAATAGGAGAGGAAATATCCTAGCTCTGATGGCACTAGGCCCTTGCCCCAAATCCTCACTAAGTTTTGCTTGCCTTGCTCTCTCTTGGCCTCCCCTTACATACCTTCAGCCTAACAAACTGCTTCAAAGTTCTTTTCATGTTGCCACATGTCCCTCTACCTCGCATTCTCCCCTACTCCACTTTCATTCCGGATAGGCTGATCACTTTTCCAGCCATACCATATTCTCTTTCTGTTGCATGTACTCCTAATTGGAAAACTATTGACTTGTTGAACATTGTGCTAGTAATTGTCTTTTTCATTAATTTGTGCTTCATTTTGATCATGTTCTGAATCTTCATTTGAAGTTTGGTTATTTGGTTTGGTTAGTTAAATATTTTTCTAATCTTTTGCAGTGGCAGCTGTATTTAGCCTGGCCTATAAGCTCCAGCCTGCCATTATATTCATTGATGAAGTTGACAGTTTTCTGGGTCAGCGCCGTTCAACAGATCATGAGGCATTATTAAACATGAAAACTGAGTTTATGTCCTTGTGGGATGGATTTACCACAGACCGTGAGTTTCTTAAAGATCTTCATTTAATTATTATTATTTTTTGGGGACCAAAGATCTAAAATATGTTGTGAATAGTATAACGTTAATCTTGATGTGCGTGTTATACTTGCTATTCCCAAGTTATGCATTCTTGATTAGGGTTTATAATGGTTTTTTCCCTTTTAAACAGAAAATGCTCGAGTCATGGTCCTTGCAGCAACTAATCGTCCTTCAGAGCTTGATGAAGCGATACTTAGGCGGCTTCCTCAAGCTTTTGAAATTGGACTTCCAGATGCAAAGGAGAGGGTTGAGATATTAAAGGTTATCTTGAAGGGTGAGAGAATTGACGACAACATTGATTTTGATCACATAGCTGGCTTGTGTGAGGGTTATACGGGTTCAGATTTATTTGAACTCTGCAAGAAAGCTGCTTATTTCCCTGTTAGGGACCTGCTAGATGAAGAGAAAAGAGGGAAACAATCTCCTGTGAGTAATCTCATTACTCTCTTCTGACTTCTGATGTCCCTTACTGCATTCCTAAAAAATAAATGAGAAATGTATCTAGAAAGAAAATGAGATAGGTGCATTTCCTATTTCCTTTCTAGAAAACACTTTTCTACCTATCAAACATTGCATGAAGGTTTTCCATGTTCCCAGTAGTTGATATTTTGCTATCTAAGGCTGGGATTGATCAGAGTACGTATTCATACTAGTCTTTAATCTGTGAACAAAACAAAAGAAGAAATCTAATTTGGGTATAGCTTAGGTATGTCAAAATATTTGAGACTCCAGGATTATATTTTCTTGATTGAAGAGTATCTCTGTTTAGCGAAAGAATGGCATAATTGTTTATGCTTCTGCTTGTCAAATCAACCTTTCAAAGCTTTATATTTCCTTGGTGTTTCTTTTTATTGTAAGTAACCGATTACCAAGAGTTTGTAAAAGAAACTATAGGTTTAGAGTGTGATGTCTAGAAATAGGAAGAGAATAATCATGGTCAGGGCTGTCTTAGAAAAAGAAGTGCTGTGGTATTGAATATTACTGAGGTGCTTTGTCTTCAATGTTTTAGGCACCAAGGCCATTGTCACAATCAGATTTGGAGAAGGTCCTTACCTCTTCAAGGAAAACAAAGGTTGCTGCTAGTGAATACAGCGGACTAACCTTACGTTCACCAAGATGGACGGGGCACAGGGAGTCAGGTGATTATCAGTTTCAAGATGCAATCAGTGAATTATCTAAGCTTGTGGTTTCTCAAATTATTAATCTCCAGTCTGATGCTCAGGATCCTTAATGATCCTGACCACATTTAGAGCATTCAGTTATACTTCTAATTAACATGGCCTAAAGTGAAACAGCACTTACCTCTTATAGTATTTTTGTGCTCATGCATCTAGGCTTCATGTATTTGATCAGTGGCATCTGCTACTTTGTAAAAATTTTTAGAATCCAATCTTTTTGTTATGTGTAATTGAATGATCTGATCACACTGCTACGGATTGCTATGTTAGTGATGCAGGGTATTCTTTTAAAAGTATTTTGTTATCGTACTCTCCTGGATTCGAATTCTTTGCAGTTGATAGTTAAATGCATAACTTGTATTTATAGAGTGATGGAAAAAAAAAAAATATTGTGAGTGGATCTGAGAGAAAATAGATTCTGCATGCTCTGCTAGTCTTTTATGCCATTCATTTCTAAAACACAGAAGATTAGAAGTTCAGCCACGCCTGGGCTGTTAGAGTAATTTTGTGGGTAGTGGGATTCAACAAGTCAGTAGTCTCTATTTTGATTTTTTGCTGTAGAGGAGGTTCAACGGTCAAGATCGTGATAGTAGCAGCAAGAAAGTGTCAATCTTTGTAAAATAAGTTCAAAGATTTAGTCTAGTGGAGTAAGCTGATGTTTGAACCAGGTTCTGACTATTATCTCCAGTAAGCTGCTATTAAGACGAGTCCGGTATATCATTTTACCACATAATTACGTGAAACTTTTTTTTTTTTTCCTGGCCTGACTTGTATATAAAGCCAGTCGTTGATCATTCAAGAATTGTGTTTATGATAGATCTATGATCAATAGAGAAGTAATGGCGTTGGACCTAACAAACAACTTTTTAATAGAAGACGTTGGAGTTTCAAAGTTGCCAACAGCCATCAATGATTGAGAGCTGAGGGAAATAACTGGCGGTGCAGTGAAGAAGTGGGATCTGAATGATTGTACTTCAAGGCTCAGAAGGTCTACCCACGCAACATGATGATTAACACTACTACACTTTTTGAGAGGTGCATGCTCTTTCCCATCCTTCTCGCACTCTTTCATGGAGAACCGGGGGGGAAGGGGGGGAACATAATTTTTTAAGTACTCTTTTTCCGGTGGGACCACTCTTCGAGGGGCATGAGCATGCCTTTCCTAGTTTCTCTCCCTTGCCCTGCCTGTAGCTTGGTTTGGTTGATAAACTTTTGCATCGTGGTTCCATCATTACTGACCACTGTTATTGAGAAGAGATCAGTGTTAAACAGAAGAAGAAAAAGTGAAGAGAGTGAAAATGATTTTAACATGGATTTGGGGTTTGTTTTGTGACCCTACTTTGTTTGGAGATATCCTTAGCCGGGTCCTTTGGAGACAGTAGACATAGACGGTTGCAAATGATTAGGAAACAAATGGCACATAATACGATCTGATTGTTTTTCTGATATAACTTTTGTAATGAACACTGTATTGATTTGAACAAAGTTTTAGGCTTTTAGCCTTTTAGGTGACACATTTAAAATTCAAATTCAAATAGTAAAAATGTTGTTGGAAGAGATTTAAAACAAAAGAGATGAAAAGAGAGGCACAAAATCCAATGCAAACTACCAAATTTACGTAACTTGTGAATAATTGATTGTAGAAATAAGTTGCATTATTTTATGATTTATAAATAGTATACTTTGTGTAAGATCATATATATGTATGTGCATAAATCGAGGCTGATAAAAAAAATTAATGAATTCTCGGAATTCTGTTATAAAAAAAAAACAGAGGAAAGAAACGTGGAGTGGCAGATACTTTGATAAGAAGGAACATAAGGTGAGTCACACACACATCTCCTACACCTTTCTCCTCTGAGCAGAAGATCGTCCTATTTTATGGCAACAGCTTGATATTTATGGATGAGAATGGAATGGAGGCCGGATAATCTCTTGAAATGTAGGGAGTCACGTGAAAGGAGTGCTAGGTGTGCGTTATTTGCACAGATCCTCTAAAGCAATCAATCCGTCCATGAAAATTTAAATAGTGATGCCTCATTCAAAAAATTATCAGCTGTTCACTAATTAACAATTTTATTAATATATTAGTTAAAAATCTCAATGTCCATTCAAACACGTGACATGTGGGAGGACACAAACCTCAACACCAACATAACAACCGAATGTTGACTATTAGTTAAAAATCTGCTGAGTAATAATAGTTTAACAAATTATCATTGATGTTTTATCTATAGGCCAAAATCGACATTTAGATGTTGGATAACATACTTGTAGAAAGACAACCGGTGCTTTATGGTGCTTTATTATAAGTATGTCCGGTGCTACGTATTGGTCTATATTCGTCTGTTTTATGTTAAGGTAAGAAAAAGATGTAATTTGAAACTGGAGAAATTCAAGCCATTGGAATAACAAAGACCAAGATCATATTCAAACGTAAGGACGCGGAACCTGATAAAGGGATTTAGTTATGGGTCCACATCTCATATTAATACAAGGACTATAAATGAGATTGAAGAGACATGGAAATTTAACGATGAGAAGCATTAAGCAAAGTGATAGTCAAGCGAACGATAGAGTAGGTAGTAGTGGGATCATAGTACAAAGTCTCAAGCGCAGCAAATCCCCTAGCAAAGCGAAACCTGCCAGTCCCTGAAACCACAGACACCTCTCTGTAATTCTCAACTTGGCGGCTAACACCTTGAATTTGCAAGGTGCTCCCATTATACTGCAAATTGGTGAACACAATTGAGATCATCACATTTACATTAGAACCATCCAAAGAAGAGGTAGCAAGCAGACCTTGAGCCCTCCCGACCGGGGCTGAGTACTTATTAGGACCCAGTGTCACCGGATCATCTACTACATAAATGCTTCCAAATGTGTTATAGGACCATTCCTTCCCTTTTACACCCGCCACTGCGGCCACCGTCGCATTAGGTCCTGTTGCCACGTCTTGCAGGAAGAACACTAAGCTCTGTTGTTCACCATTGCCTTCCCAAGGGGTTAGAGCTAAAGCTATCATCAGGAGCAATATTGATAAGGAAGTGAGTTTGGATGGTTTCGGAAATACAAGAGCCATTTCAAATGACGAGTGATGAGCTTGGTTTGTAAATGAGTGCTCTATTTATAGCAGTTCGAATGGCAAGGATGACTGTTAAAGCAACGAATTATGATTATCTTTTAGTCGTTAAAGAGTTTCAGTTTACAAGCTGCTGTTGTGCATCAGTGTAGTTATCATGTGAGTGTGACAGTTAAAATAATGATAAGCTGTAACTGATAACTGATGAGTTTCAAGGGGAAGGTTGGTGTCACATAACTGAACTTTCATCAAAGAAAGAGAAAATCAGATTAGCTTATTGAAAACACGAGGAAAATCAGTCTAAAATCTTTCTACGCAAAAATATAACTCCAACTTTGACCTCCTCATTCTTGTTTTGAAAACTCGAATGTTTGCCAATTTGATTAAAATAGAAACAAGCTTTTAACTACTGTAAAAAAACTACTCTCACATTTTTGACAAAGAAAAGTCACATTCACATTCATTTTGGTCTAAGTTACGTTTTGGTTAAAACCATCGAGTTTCCATATACTTATTATAACATTTATAGAAAATGTGCCAAAAAGCCATGGGAGTCTGGTTTATAGCAAGAACTTGAAATTCTTTTGGGGATATGACATTCTGGTTTATATACTATTTCTCAGGAATTTATTTGTCTTTCAAATGATCCGTGTCGGCTAATTTCTTCCAGCCAGATTCTTTTTGAAAAAGAATTTTAATTATTCGAGAACGGATCCCCCATGCTATGCACCCAAATATTGGTAAGAGTCAGCTGGCCAAAAAAAAAAAACGTCAAGGGTTTGACTAAAAGATTAAAAAAAAAAAAGAACGAAGATTTGCCTTTGGTGCCGAAAAAATAAAGAATAAGGGGGGGAAAATCCTTGATCGGATTATTCAAAGGGCAATAATCTGTGAGTTAAAGGCCACGAACAACACTGAACAGTAAATAATAATGTCAAGTCATATTAGGGTTAAATAAATTTTTTACATTGTAAAAGTCATAATCAAAGATATTGATATCTAAAGTTTTGTATGAAACCTAATGAGTGAGCCAATCAATACATTGTTTTCATAAAGATTAATGGAAAGTGACCAAAACTCGGTACAGAACAAGCAATAAGAATCCGATCCCTCGAATTGCGAAATTCTGAAGTCCCTGCCAAGTTACTTGTGAAGAACAAATACTCGATGTCATGTATATAAATTTTATGGAGAAATCCACGTGTAAGGAAATAAATAAAGAGAACAAAATAAAGGGCATGTGTTATTTATTTGCCATTTGTCAAACTATTAATTGTTTGATATCCAGGTCTTCGTAGAGGTCGCCGATTTCCAAGCATAGGTAATAAACAACTTGAATTGTATATGAAGTTTGAAACCGTTTTTTTACTAACGAAGCATTTAAATGCAATATTATACTCTTCATTTTTTGCCCCCAGATTTCCACCTCGCGTCTTCTTCGTTCCTGTTATTCTCCATATCTAGAGGGACCCATTAGAGCTAGTTTGTAGTTTGTTGGCACTCTCCTAGCAATGTATGTAAATTCAAATTGCAATGAGTGTTAAGACCATATTGAGAAGAGTAAATCTTTCCGATGATAGAATGTGGTTAAAAATAGGTGACCAAATCAGAAATAAAAATAAGTAGAGATATGGTTTCATTAAATGGAACGGTTAGGAATGGATTTATTCGGAAATATTTGAATCGACTGAGGAAATTGTGTGACCAAGAGGATAGAGAATGCTTTTTGTCGACGACGCCAATGAGGCAATGACACCGATAATGAAAAAGAAGATTACGTAAACATTGAAGAAGTCGAATGAGAAGGAAATTTAAGGATGATAGTTGGGTCATCTTAATATGATTCCACGTCTGAATAGTTCCCTTTTTAAATAATAACTAAAAAGATATATTCAAACAAGTGTCGAACACATAAGAGTAAATAAAAATGATAGATAGATTTAGTTTACAATCTTTATTCATTATTCACTGCCAAGATCTCCCTTAACACCAAGGCGATGGATGGATGGATAACACCCGAACAAAGTTATTATAAATTATAAATTCATATAAAACTTGAGAAATAAAATATAAATTAACTTAATCAATATGTCAATGTAATGAAGTGACAACATAACATATTAACATTCACTCATCTCACATTCTCAATTTAATTAACATTTTGAACACTCTAAAAACACAAAAACAAAGCCATAATGAGGGCATATTAAGATGTGACTTTCGTTATTGTCTTTGCCATTTAAAATAGGAAAAATATGTATGCTTGATTACGACAGCTTACCAGTAGTCTGTCATTTCCTAAAGTTCCACTTTTCGATTCACATGAGCGCCTTGTCATATGCATGATTCATGATTGCTTAATAACATCCCTCACCGAACAAAAATGTGTATATAACTATATATATATATATATATATATATTAGAAAACGATTTAACAAGAAATCAAAAGATTCTTTTTTTAAAAAATCAAAATCAAAATATTCTTTTACCAAAAGATTATATATTCTTCGCAAAATAAAATAGTGTATTTGAGCCAAGAAATCAAGGGTCAAAGCCTGGAAAACTAAATACAGACCGATTCAATCTTATATAAAGGCAAGAGCAATACCCCGAGAAGCCGTCTCTGGTCATATATTCAAAGCTAACGCACAATAATAGAATTATTCTCTGACCTATCAATTTTGCCGCTGGCCGGCACCACTCAGACTTCTTCAAACTCATCAAGCTAAGTAATCGATCTTCTCATTTTCCGACTCCTCCTTCAATCCCTCATGCATGGACAACCCCCCTAATTCTCCAAGTTCTAACAGATTTTCGTAGTTTAGCTCCGGTCAATATGATTTGGGCTAGCTCCATTTCTTCCATCTTGTTCGCCATAGTTGTTTTTCTCCTAGGAGTTCGTTTTCTCCGCAGAACTTCAGTTCTCTACATTCTCAGGCAATGGTGGATTTCATTTGAAGACCGTCTTCATGTGTACCAATCCTTCAAAATCCCACTTTACAATGAGAATTTCCAGGAAAATCAACTTCACCGCCAAATCCTCTTGTACCTCAATTCACTACCTTCCATCGAAGATTCTGATTACACAAACCTCTTCTCCGGTTCCAATCCCAGTGAAATTTTCCTTCACCTCGATGCTAACCAGACGGTTCACGATTCATTCCTCGGCGCGAAAGTTTCCTGGAAGAACAGAAAATCCGAGGGAGATGCAAATTCAGTACTGGTGCTCAGAATAAAGAAGAAAGACAAACGCAGAATCTTCCGCCCTTACTTCCAGCACATTCTCTCGGCAGCGGATGAAGTCGACAAAAGAAGAAAAGATATCAAACTTTACATGAATTCTGACACAGACGCTAAATTGCGGTGGCGATCAGTCCCGTTCACCCACCCGGCAAGCTTCGACACGTTAGCCATGGACGCCGAGCTAAAGAACAAGGTGAAGTCCGATCTCGAACAGTTTTCGAAGTCGAAGCAGTACTATCACCGATTAGGCCGTGTTTGGAAACGGAGTTATCTCCTGTACGGCGCATCCGGGACAGGGAAATCCAGTTTCATCGCAGCAATGGCAAAATTTCTCTGTTACGACGTCTACGATATCGACATCTCCAAGGCTTCAAACGACTCCGACTTGAAGACTCTGTTGTTACAAACGACCAGTAGGTCGGTGATCGTCATCGAGGACCTCGATCGGTTCTTAACTGGGAAATCAACGGCTTTGAACTTGCCAGGTGTATTGAGCTTCATGGACGGGATTGTATCGTGCTGCGGGGAAGAGCGAGTGATGGTTTTCACGATGAACGTGAAGGACGAGATTGATCCAACGGTGATGAGACCCGGGAGGATCGATGTTCACATACACTTCCCCTTGTGCGATTTCTCGACCTTCAAGATTTTAGCGAGCAGTCATTTGGGGGTGAAAGAGCACAAGCTCTTCCCTCAGGTGGAGGAGGTTTTACAGACCGGAGCGAGAATGAGCCCGGCCGAGATCGGCGAGATTATGATATCGAACCGGAGCTCGCCAAGCCGGGCTTTGAAAACCGTCATCACGGCGTTGCAAAGCGACGGGAGGAGGGGACGGAGGCTGAATGAAAGCGGGTCGGGTCGGAATAGCATGGATTTGGGGTCGAGCGAACCCGATGGGCTCTACTGTAGAGAGAGTGTTCACACGGTGAGGGAGTTTCGCAAGTTGTATGGGCTTTTCCGGTTCGGCAGTAGGAGGAAAGAGGAGTGTTTGCCTCTGGGGACAACAGAAAAGGAAGCTTCACAAGTAGAAGGATAAAACTTCTTCGGGTCGGATCGAAAAAGTTCGAATCGAGAAGTTATTGATCGTTTTCCTCCCAGTTATTCCTTATCTCACAGAAAGCTTGTTTGCTTACAAGAGAAAGTATGTTGCATTTTTTTTTTGTATTGATAGATAATAAAAACATTCATTTTCCTTGGTTGGCTGCTCCAAGAGGGTAGAATGTGAGTGAAAATCGTGGTTGAAATATTAAGTGTTGCATCCCAGGACTACAAGAATGTGCCGAGCCGAGCACTGTAGACAGTGTAGAGGGAAAGTTGAAAACACAAAGGCTTGGGGGAAGAACAAGTCAACATACAATCGCTTGCCCCTTGCAGTGACCTATGCCATCAACGTTCGATTGAAACAATTTAGTTACACGGAGGGAATGCTCAACCGTTTCTTTATGAAAAGGATATTACATAATGCAACAATCAAATTATTTGATCGCCTTCTCAATCACTAAACCATTTGTGAATTTATGAAACCAAACAAAACTTTACAGATTGTTGTTTTTTTTTTATATATATAAGCATCTTTCTATCAAAAGTCGATCTTTTTCTATTAAAAAATAATCTTATTTGATAATTTAAGATGGGCTTTCTTTTATAAGAAATTATTTTGTGTTAACGACCATTATTTGATAATTGATAATTTTGATTTATCACTGTGATGGCTCGAAAAAAATGTGAAATTTTAGTTATTCGTAAACTACAAGTGGGCAGGGGTAGCCTAAATAATCATGATAGACCCAATATCATTTTTTGTGAGACACAACTAACTTAACTGCAAGGCTTTATCAACAAAAAAAAAAAGCCCTACAAGGCCATATAATAGTATCACGAGCACAAGGAGAAGGAAACCGGTATTGAAATTAATATACCCATTCATTCACTTGATTTTATTTTTATTAAGGATACGGATTTTTTCACTCATATTGGTATACTTATTTTTAGTGGCAGTGCCAAGACCCTAAACCACAGGGTGCAACGTTTTTAAAATTAATAATTTAAAAATAATTTAATAATTTAAAAAAAAAGCATGTACATATCTTATTATTGTACCCTGCATGGTTTGTCATATGAAATTGTTGAGTAATCATCTCAATGTCAATGCTATAGAAAATATCTTTTTAATATAAGTCATTAGAGAATTATTCATCAATGAATCTCCCATATAATTTCGTAATTGATTTTTCACAAACTTAATAGCAGAAAAGGCTCTTTTTATTATTGCCATGACAATCAGTAATATCATTGTTAATTTCAAAAGAGTATAAATTAAGGGATAAATTATATGTCTTTTTGTTTTCAGCAATTTTTTTTTTGCAAGACTACCGATTCCTTTTAATGATACAAATTCAGTATTGCTTCGTATATCAATGATGTAAGTCTCAAGATGATTTATCAAGCATATTAAATTAGAGGAAGAAAACTCACATGGATAGGCTTGGCAAATTTAATTCACCTTTATAAAAAAGCTAAGAATGAATTAGTCGGATTCAAGCAAGACATACTGATGGACCCCATGGCACGGGTGACATAGCATTAATGGCAACGAAGCCTGAGGATGGTAATCATGAGCATGGTGACATAGAAGGAGCCCAATACTTCCAATCCAACGTACCTAAAGACCCATTGCAACATATTGGAGGTCCAATGACAAGAGCCCGAACCAAAGCCATGAAGCAAGCCTTGTTCAGTCTTGTGCAAGAAGTTCAAGAGCTTGGAGAGCATTGGGGCACTCCGCTCAAGTCCAAAGGAGAGCATCTATACGTGTATAATGTATTTAAGATCCAAACTCATGAAGAGTCAAGCCCAAGAGATGCAGACCTTAGCCCAATGCAAGGAAGACTACAAGTTGAGCCTCTTGCATGCAAGGAGGCATGAAACCCTAGTAAAGAAGTCAAGGGTGGCGTGATTTCAAATCCTTTATGATCCCTTGATTGTCTCCTAAATTATTTCCTATTTTAATGGTCCTTTGATTTAATTTTCTATTTTGAGTCTAGTCAAAGATTAGAATTAATTATAATATTAATTTCTAATTTTTGTAATCCCATAATTTTAGGATCACATCTCCTAAATTATGTGGCTGAATATTTTATCATTATTTCTCCTTTTAGTATTAGGAAATTAGGGTTTTAATTTTAGGAAATATTTTTCTATGAGCCTATATAAATTAGGCATGCTCCCTATTGTAAACAACACAGAAGTTAAATGAAATTATTCATTTTAGAGTTTATAACTCTTATGAGCCTTAGTGCTTTGTGGTGGTATCCCGTGTGAGAAACCGACGTGATCAAGAGCGTGATCAACTCTTGTGGTGTCTTCGAAGGTTGAGGTTCCTAGAGGCAGGTGCTCTAGAGGATCTTCTCCTTGATCATTATCCTATTGTTTACTTCATACCTTTCTTTATTTCCGTCATAAATTTCGTCCCTTTCTTTTTGTTCTTGTGTTTTTGTTGTTTCAGGGTTCTGTCTCTAAACTAGCACGATTCTGCTTCCGCATCCCTATCACATACAAATGAGCAATTGTGTATTTATCTCAATGAAATGATAATTAAGTTCTTAAAGTTGCATAGCTATAACAATATAAAATAATTCAACTCGATGATAATTCAAGTCGATAATGAAGATCAACTTGATAATAATAATTCAATTCAACTCAACAGTGATGATTAGCTGTGATTACTTGAGATTTACTTTCACGATACAATCTCCCTTTGGACAAAATAGTACCTTCCATGGTAGGAATATCAATGCCATGTTTATTGCAGTTCTTCTAAAAGATACTCCCATCCATCATCCCTCAAAGTTCATAGTTACTGCTTTGTGATGTTTACCAAGTTCATTGCATTAATGATATATTAACCCTTCCTTTGCAATGCCTATGATAGCTCATGTGAGATACCCAAGACATTTTTTGTTAAATGTAGGTTAAATGCAAAATCAAAGTCCTTCAACAAGTATAAAAGACCATTGACTTCGGCTTTTTGATTTGCATTTGATCCATGTTCTTTTATAATTTCAAGAACATCAATTATAACAGAAAACATCAATATCAAGCCAATTAATTGTGCACAATGTGAGCTCTAACAAGTATCACCACTTTTTTTGAGACTAGATTCTTGATTCAAGCCTCGTTCACTGGAAATTTCACCTATATCCTATGCCTTGCTAACATTTTCTATTTGTTTTTCATGAAGCAAGTAAAGCCATTTACAAGATCCCCTAACAACATTTGTTGTAGTATTCTCTAAATTAAAAAGAGAGGTAACTTGAATATGATTTTTAGCAGTTGCAACTAATATAAGCTGTAGTTGATAAGCAAAGCAATGCACATAAAATCCAGACAAATTCTCCATCAAGATTAAACTTTTAAAACCACTAAATTCACCTTTATATTACTAGCAACATTACTAGTACCATCATAACATTACCCACATATTCTTGATGTACCTAGCCCAAAGTCACATAACAACTTTTAAGCTTCCATCTTTAATGACAAAGTAGTAGTTTTCTTAACATGTATTATATTAAGAAAACACTCAACAATACATCATTTTTTATCAACATAATACAAAATAATAGCTATTTGATCCTTATTTGATACATCACGTGACTCATCAACAATAATAGTGAACAATTTATTTTCAAGAACATGGATGATATCATTAATCGTTTCAATTGTAGCTCTTTAATAATATCTATTTGAATTTCATGTAAAATCAATCAACTATTTTCAATAGCATTTCCCAAAACAACTTGATTAATTAATTCATTATGGTCAATAAAAAGCCTAAGAAGTTTAATAAAATTACCTTAATTGATAGACTTACTCGACCCATCATGACCCGGAAAAGCTAATCCTTACTCTAACAAAAAGCAGAGACGATCAATTGATGCATTCAAATGTCTTTGATACAAGTCATGAACTTGTTTAGATTGCTTAAAAATTACAATTTCAACGTATTGATTTTAATTTATCAAATCTTGACAGTTTTTTCAAGTAATATTATAAGTACTATTAGGACCTCTAAAATCAAATGTAAGCTTTTTTTTTTAATTCCAATTTGTAAATCCATGTGTCCTAAATACATCACCATCTAATTACCTTCCTATGATCAAGCCTAAAAAGATAACAATATGAGCAAAACACTGCATTCTTTTCAATACTAAACTCCAACCAATTGCCAAATTCTATAAATCAAGAAGAACAAAATTTTCTCATAGAATTCCCACTTTTTCTTTCGAGAAAATTATGTTTGATAGGTTGATATGGTCCTTTTTGCAAACATAATTTATGTACTTTATCTTGAACATTATGATGACATGATGAAATTCTAATTTTTTTTCCAAATCTAATGACAAATCTTTTAAATTAATTTCATTTGTTGTTGTTGTTGTTGTTGTTGTTGTTGTCTATTTGATTCAGAAGCTCTTGATGAAGATTGTCCTTCATTCAAAGGTAATTTTCTTTTTAAAAATCTTTTCATTTTCCATTCAACACCTAAAAAATTTCAAATTCATAAATAAAAAATATCTAAGAATATTAAAGCATTAAAAAAGGCAACATAAATAGCATGTGTCATATTACTTTTACCAAGTAATTTGCCAAAGAGGTGACCATAAATAAAGCACAAATATATTATTAATTTTCTGCACAATAAAGCGCAATAATTTCACCAACAAGGAACCATATATGTAGTTTCAATAGTGGGGATTTTGACATGTTTATAATATATGAAGGGCTCGCTTGAATTTTAATTAGGTATAATTGATTAATATAATTATTTCTTATTATAATTAATTATGTTATAATGTGAGCATGTTTGTATATTATTTTTCTGAAATTGATTTCGATAGAATTAAAGATGTTTAGATGATTTAGTTAAAATTAATTTTAGGCATTTAAATGACTAAAAGAGACATTGTTCTTTAATGAAATATTGACAAAGTTGTATATTATATTATTAAATATGTTGAATTCTATTAAATAAATTAAAATATATTCCCTCCTTTTTAAATGTAAGTAAAATTTAATCAACTCACATTATTTAACAAAGTTAGATTAAACATAATAATGATATCTTATAAAATACCATAAATAAATAAGAGAACAAAAACTAAAACTAACGTAGAAGTGATCAATTTTTCAACGCATGTGCCTTTAATG